CAGACCACTAACTTAAGTCCATTGTAAGTCCCAAGGTCAGCAGAGCATGGCAGGCTGCTGAATAACTACATGTCTACATCCAGGGTACAAGCATGCTGTAGGCTAAAGACCATTCCCAAGGCTTCTGCTTATATACAGGAAGCATACCACATTCTCTAAGGCAGCCACTCAGCTGCTCACAGTAGATCATGGAGTTGATTACCAGTCTCATCATGGGGAATACTACATCCAGCTGCCCAGACACTCAACCAGGCCCAATCAAGCTGACACAAAAACATAACCATCACACATGGCTATGTAAGAAAATCCACCACTTCTCTGTCAGTTCCCATAGTGTGGTGGCTTGCATGTTGTTATGAGGCTGGAGGCTATGCCACTGGTATTTCAAATACCAATAGGGTCACGCATGGGGGACAGGTTTCAGACTGGGAAGAAGGAAGAGCCCATCCTCTTCTCAAAGAATTGGCCCGTTAAAACCTTATGAATAGTAGATATATTACTGGAAAACTTTATGGATAGCCCTGAAACATTGTCCAATAATAGTGCCAGAAGACAAGCCTCTCAGGTCAGAAGGCACTCAAGATACTGCTGGGGAAGAGCTGCCTCCTCAAAGTAGAGCTGACTTTAATGATGTGGATGGAGTAAAGCTTTCAGGACCTCCATTGGCTGATGGGGCAAGACTCAAAATGAGAAGAAATAGCTGCGAACATCCATTAAGAATCAGAACATGGAATGTACAATGTATGACTCTAGGAAAATTGAAAGTTGTCAAAAATGAAATGGAATGAATAAAGATTGATATCCTAGGCATTAGTGAGCTGAAATGAACTGGCTTTGGCAATTCTGAATCAGGCAACCATATGATCTCCTATATTGGAAATAACAAATTGAAGAGGAATGGTGCAACATTCATCGTCACAAAGAATGTTTCAAGATCTATTCTGAAGTATAATGCTGTCAGTGATAGGATAACATTCATACACCTACAAGAAAAAAAACAGTTAATACTACTATTATTCAAATTTACACACCAACCACCAAAGCCAAAGACGAGGAAATTGGAGATTTTTACCAAATTCTGCAATCTGAAATTGAGCAAACATGCAAACAAGATGTGCTGATTATCACTGAAAACTGGAATGCAAAACTTGGAAACAAAGAAGAATCACCATCAGTTGGAAAATATGGTCTTGGCTCAAGAAATAATGATGGAGATCGCATGATAGAATTTTGCAAGACTAATGACTTATTGCAAATACCTTTTTTCAACAACACAAATGGCAGCTATAAACATGGACTTCACCAGATGGAGTACACAGGATTGACTACATTTATGGCAAGAGGCGATGAAGAAGCTCAGTATCTTCAGCCAAAACAAGGCCAAGAACTGACTTTGGAACAGACCATCAATTGCTCATATGTAAGTTTAAGCTGAAGCTGAAGACAATTAAAACAAGTCCATGAGAGCCAAAACATGACCTCGATTATATATATTTTGAATTTACAGACATTCTAAAGAATAGATTTGATGCAATGAACACTAATGACCAAAAACAAGACGAATCATGGCATAACATCTAGAACATCCATGAAGAAAGCAAGAGGTCATTAAAAGGAAAGGAAGAAGAGACCAAAATGGATGTCAGAAAATACTCTGAAACTTGCCCTTGAATGGAGAGTTGTTGTTGTTATGTGCCATCCAGTTGGACCTGACTCATAGTGATCCCTACTTGGGTTTCTGAGGCAGTATCACTATGGAAATAGATTGCCCCATCTTCCTTCTGAGGAGTGGCTGGTTGGTTTGAGCCGCCAGCCTTCTGGTTAGCAGTCAAGTGCCTTAGGCATTATGCTACTAGAGCTCCCTGAATGGAGAGTAGCTAAAGCAAATAGAAGAAATGACAAATAAGAGCTGAACAGAAGATTTCAAAGAGCAGCTCAAGAAGGTAAAGTAAATTATTATAAAGAAATGTGCAAAGAACTGGAGTTAGAAAAACAAAAGGGTAGAACACATTTGGCATTTCTCAAGCTGAAAGAACTGAAGAAAATATTCAAGCCTTGAGTTGCAACATTGAAAGATTCTGTAGGCAAAATATTGAGTGATGCAGGAAACATCAAAAGAAGATGGAAGGAATACACAGAGTCACTATACAAAAAGAGAATTGGTAGATGTTCATCCATTTCAGGAGATGGCATATGATCAAGAATCAATGGTATTGAAGGAAGAAATTGAAACTGAAAGAATTGATGAAAAACAAGGCTCTAGGAATTGACCCATTGAGATGTGTCCACAGACAGATGTGACACTGGAGGCACTCAGTTGTCTATGCCAAGAAATTTGGAAGACAGCTACCTGGCCAACTGACTGGAAGAGATCCATATTTGTACCCATTCCAAAGAAAGTGATCCCACAGAAAGTGAAAATTTTGGAACAAAACCATAAATATCACATGCAAGTAAATCTTGAAGATAATTCAAGAAAGTTTGCAGCAGTATATTGGCAGAGAACTTACGAAAATGCAAGCTGGATTCAGAAGAGGACATGGAACAAGGGATATCATTGCTGATGTCAGATGGATCTTAGCTGAAAGCAGAGAATACCAGAAAGATGTTTGAATCTTATTGACTATGCAAAATCATTCAATTATGTGGAGCATAATAAATTATGGATAACATTGAGAAGAATGGGAATTCCAAAACACTTAATTGTACTTATGAGGAACCTGAACATAGACCTGGAGGCTGTCATTCAAACAGAACAAGAGGTTACTGCACGGTTTAAAACAAAGAAGGGAGTGTGTCAGGGTTGTGTCCTTTCACCATGCTTATTCAATCTGTATGCTGAGCAAATAATCTGAGAAGCTGGTCTCTATGAAGAATAATGTGGCATCAGGACTGCAAGAAGACTCGTTAACAATCTGCAATACCCAGGTGGCACAACTTTGCTTGCTGAAAGTGAAAATGTCTTGAAACACTTACTGATGAAGATTAAAGACTTCAGTGTGCAGTATGGATTATGTCTTAACATAAAGAAAATGAAAATCCTCACAACTGGACCAATAAGCAGCAACACATTAAATGGAGAACAGGTTGAAGTTGTCAAAGATTTCATATTACTTGGTTCCACAATCAACACCAATCAATGGAGGTAGCAGTCAAGATATCAGACGACATAGTGCACTGGGAAGATCTGCTCCAAAAGACCTCTGTTTTGGTTACCTAGTGCCACTCTGACAGGATGATACCACAAATAGTATGGCTTTAAGAAACAGGAGTTTATTCTCTTAGTTTAGAGGCTTTAAGTCTGAGTCCAAAGTGCCAGGCTCTAGGGGCTGGGCGAAAGCCCCTCAACCTTGGCTTGGGCTTCAGCTCTGTCTCTTACTCCTGGTCCACTGAAGCCAGAGGCATATCTCCACTCAGGTAGCGGGTAGCTGCTGAGGCTGACAAACCCAAGGTCGACAAGTGAAAAGGCACAGTCCCAATGTTATCAAACTCATGGCAGGCCACTAATTCAAGTCCATTGAAAGCCCCAAGGTCAGCAGAGCATGGCAGTCTGCTGAATAACAACATGGCTATATGCGGGGTTCAAGTGTACCATAAGCTAGAGACCATTCCCCAAGGCCTCTCCTTATATACAGGAAGCAGACCACATCCCTAAGGCAGCTACTCAGCAGCTTACAGTAGATTCCACCATGGAGTTGATTACTAGTCTCATCATGGGGAATACTACATCCAGCTGCCCAGCCACTCAACCAGGCCCAGCCAAGTTGACGCACAAACTTAACTACCAGAACCTCTTTAAGTACTGAAGAGAAAGGATGTCTCCTTGAAAACTAACCCAAGCCATGGTATTTTCAATTGCCTCATATGCTTGAGAGAGCTGGACAATGAATAAGGAAGACCGAAAAAGAGTTGATGCTTTCGAGTTGTGGTGCTGGTGAAGAATGCTGAAAGCACCATGACTTCCAAATAACTAACAAATCTGTCTGAAAGAAGTGCAGCAGTCAGAATGTTCCTTAGAAGTGAGGATGGCCAGACTCCATCTGATCTACTTTGGTCATGTTGTCAGAAGGGACCATTCTCTGGAGAAGGATATCATGCTTGGTAAAGTGGAGGGTCAACATAAAAGGGGAAAGCTCTCCATGAGATGGATTGACACAGAGGCTGCAAGAATGGGCTCAGGTATAGCAAGGATTGTGGGGCTGGCACAGAACCCAGCAGAGTTTCATTCTGTTGTATGAAGGGTGCTATGAGTCAGAGCCAACCTAATGGCACCTAACAACACCACATGTAAGAAAATATATTTTCAAGACATAGTGATTTATTTAGGAGTAAAGGAGCACAGCTTCCAATATACACTCAAATGTTTCAGGAAAAAGTCTTCAGCGACAGTGAGAGGTAGAAAAGATCTAATAGAGCAAAATGTAAAAACTGGCAATTCTTTGTAAAAGGCATACAGGAATTTCTTATACTATTCATGAAAACTGGAACATTTTCAAGAATTTTAATTTGTTTTCCAAGTAGGTTTTAAGTAGTATCAAAATAAAAATGTTACAATAAAAAAACTATGCCTCAGTAACATTATAATTCGAATAGTTAAATAATAGTAATAATAATAATTAATGCTCACATCGAGCATACTGTGTATGTTACCATTGTACGTATACTCAATATACTATCTAAGTTCAACCCTGGAAACCACTCAATGATATATAAATATCTTCATATTTTTCACATGAGAAAACAGAAGAGCAATTTTAACTGATGAGTAATTATAGTATCTATATGTAAAATGAACACCTCTGGGAAAGTACAAGGGATAATGTGTATACATACAAGAAAGTAGTACAGAATTCTGTCTCTGTGACATTTATTATTTGACCAAATATGACCTTAGTTTAGGGTCACATGATATTTTGATTAAATGTAAACTTAATTGTCTTATGGCATTTTCAAATTTAAAGCAGTAAATAGAGTTTTCCAAAAAATTTCTTAAAGCATACTTAGCTCCACAAGGTGTGTATCCTGAAGGGCCTGAACCACAATTCCCAGTTTGATCATTCCTAGAATTAATTTCATTAAAACATTCTCCAGTACCAAAAGTTGCACCTGAAAAATAAAAGAGCACTTTGTCATATAGAACTCAACATTCATTTTGAAAACTACATACATTTTGAGATTTTGAAATGATTTAAAATGCATTGGGTAAAATATGATCAAAATATAAAATGGAAATAAAAAATAGAATAAGATAATACAAGTCACTTAAATCTTTTTTAAATTTTGAAAACACCCTTGTTTTCCATATAAACACATATCCTAGAATTAACCACCATGTGCACTTTACATTATACATTTCAATTTGTAAATACAAATTTATAAGTATATTACAGAGACTTCTTTTATTTCTAAATATTCAAATTATTGGTCAGTAATCTGTTTTTGCATTAATGTCTTTCCAAGTTAAACCACAAAACTGATATGTTTTTCATCAAATTAACTCTGACAAAAAACCTTGAGCTACCCTTGATTCTTTCTCACACTCAGCAGCCAATCTATATGTTCAAGAGCCAACATCTTTGAAGAACAGTTTATTTCTCATCACTTTCAGCACATGCCCTCTAGTTGAAAGACAGAGACAAAAAAAAAAAAAAAAAAAGAGAGACATTTCAGTACTGCATTGTGGAGTTTGGGGAAAACAGCACACCATTAGAAAAGCCCCAGTGGATACACTGTGATCTTAGCTGAAAACCTGAGGCAGCAGTGAACTGAAAATTAGGAGTTGATTCCCCACCCCACCCCCCAGAGGCCATTTGCAAAACTGGTTATAAGTGAGAAGTGAATATTCTTGTCTTGGCCAGAGTAATGGATCATTGCTGGTGGATAGAGAAACAAGCCAAATTTTGAGGCTCTTGCATGGATAGAGTGACAAAATTAGAAATTTAACATACCTCAAACACATTCAGAATGTGGGGCTCAGGGCTTTCCCTGATTCTAAATACACACAACATAAGACATTAAAATATAAGGAGACAAGTTCCACAAAGCAGAGGAAATTTTTCTAAACTTTTTGGGTTTGGTCACATAACACAAGTGGAAGGGCCTCAATGAACACACCAACCTCTCAGTTAAAAATCCTGAAGATCTAGGACCTAGAAACAAGGACAAACTAGATGTGAACTGTTGTTGTTAATTGCTGTTGAGTCTGTTCTCACTAATGGAGAATTTATGTATGAGAATGAAAAGTTGCCTGGTTCTGCACCACGTCCATAATCTTTACTATGTTTGAACCCATTATTCAGGCTATTGTGTCAATCTATCTCAGTGAGGATTTTCTTCATTTTCACTGGCCCTCTACTTGGCCAACTATTGTGTCCTTTTCTAGCAAATGGACTTTTCTGATGACAAGTCTAATGTCATCAAGAGGAAGTCTTATTACCCTCAATTCTAAGGAGCATTCTGGTTGTGTTCTAATTACTAATTTGTTCATTCTCTAGCAATCCACAATATATTCAATATTCTGTGCCAACACCACAACTCAAATGCACCAATTCTGCCTTGTTTTTCCTTTTCGCATGCATATGAGGAGATTGAAAAGATCATGACTGGGGTCAGGCATACCATAGTCATCAAAGTGATATCTTTGTTTTTCATAACTTTAACAAGGTCTTTTGCAACAAATTTTCCCAAAATAATATGTCATTTGATTTCTTGACTGCTGTTTCCATTGATGTTAATTGTTGACTCAATATTTTCTTCATTTATCATGATGTTGTTTATGGTTTAGTGTAATAATATAGACTGGGGATTATATAAACTCTAACCAAATCTCAACACATATCAGTTTCTGAATTAAAACTGAAATGAAGATGATTTGCCCCCTACCTTATACATCTAACAAAAGAAGGGATGGGTGATAGCAACATCTATGCAGTAAAGGCATTTAGACTGAAAAAAGACTTATCAAAATCAGGAACTGAAAACAAAAGATAGTGGAA